TTTGAAAATCATTTTAGGGATTTACGAGATGATTTTGAAAATATTATTGTCTTTGAGGCATACTAGAGTTCTCAAAAATATTTCTAAGTCTGGACTACCTTCTGACTGGATTCTATGCTGATTGGGTCTAATATGACTGGTTTGGAAAAACACTGAAGTCTCGATTCACGCTCAAAACTGATGTTTCGAACTGAATTCCCGAACCATCTGGACTGCCCGGACTGATTCGGCTGAACTGGGATTCTCTTCGAACCGTTCGGACTGCCCAGACTGGTTCGACTGAACTAGACCGCCGGCTCACTCGGAGCCTGTCGATCATTCTCTTGACTATGTGCAGCTCGGCTTGATCGTGGTCCAGGTTCGGCATGGCAACTCGGGGCCTACACGAACACAGCTGATGGGCCTACACGAACACAGCTGATACGGTTTGCCGATGCATGGGTTTGAAACGGTGCTACGGTCACTGACGCAGGGGCGTGCTTGGACCACGGCTAATGGAAAATATCGCGTTGACGGTAGGTCGGACGGACGCACGAGCATTGAACAGAGCGCAGGGGCGCGGCTCGGTCGGACTCGGTGCACGGGCACGCACTTAGTGGCTCGGTTCCAACGATCGGACGAGAATACCACACGTGTGCGGAACGACGATAAGCATTGCGGGTACCTGCTAATGCACGTCGGTTGGATAATTACACTCGCTTCGAGGCACTCGGCCTCGATAGCCTTCTTAGGCTCGGTTATGGTCCCATCGGCGACTAATCGGCCGACCGACCACATCCCGACACCTAAGGACTCATTTATAATCTTATGACATCTAAATTTGTTTAAACGGAACTAGGGATCAAGTGATTTAAACTCGGATCCAAAATTTACCCGGTTATCGGATCCGAATAAAACTAGCGTTCTCGATTCTCGAAAAACCTAACTCATTTATCCAATATTTAAATCCAAAGTTTTATGTGATTTATAAGGATTTTACATCTAACAACTGCAGCTAAATTGTAATCGGACTAATTTTTAAAATTATCGCGATATTCGGCTAATGTCCCAATTTTTAATCTATATCAAACGACATCCAAAAATTATAAAATTTTAACCACCTCATCCTCAGCATTTATATGATTTATGATAAAAATCTCACAGCAATATACAACTCCTAACTCAGTCAACTAAAATCTAGCATTGTCAGTTCAAATTCAAAATTTCCTTTCGCATATCAAACGAGCTCCAAAATTCACGAAAATTTAACCTAGGCCTCAATATATTATGAATTTATAGCCTTTTTACTCAATAAATTCATATTAAATCATATCTAGCTCCAATTTCCCCAATCTCATTTTTCTAATTAACTAAAATTGTTGTCTAAGGTGATGGAGAAGGAGTTTCAGCTATTATATCCTCTCGAAGGACATAAAACAAAAATCGGAAGAAGATCGGCGCTAGGGAAAATGGATCGGTGCTTGAATCGGGTCGGATCTGGACAACTGGTCATGGATCTGGAACGGGTTAGCTTGGTTTTGGTTCGCCTGGGTTGAATTTGGTTGGGAATGGTTCAAGTCTCAATCGAGATGGCTCGGTCGCGTGAGAGCTAGCTGCAAACGGGAGCTGGGTTCAAGAACCGCAAGTCGTGAGTTGCTTTCCGGCGACTAGGGGTTGTGGTTCACCTGAGGACGACATAAACTCCCCGTGAAGTGGCTGAGTGGGCTCGTATGGACGGCTGGGACGACGGGGTTTGAGCTGTGCGTGTGGACGTAAGCTCGTCGTGGTTGGAAGGCGAGCTGGACGGTGATGCTCGCTGGAAATTGAAGGTGCGGGACACCGAAAATGGAAGCTTGCCGGAGCTGGGAAAGTGTGGGACGCCGAAAATGGTGGCGAGCTGGGATGACGTACGGACACAAGGACTCGCCGTGAAGGGGTTGAGCTTATGACGGCGTGTGGTGGGATGGTTGTGGCAAGGTTGAGCTCGCTGGCATGAGGGCTCGACGGACGGTGGCCGGAGCTTGAGAGGACGACGACGTGCGAGAGTTTGGCAGGAAGAAGGTCTCGCCGTGGTTCCGCTTGGACGTGGAGGAAGGTTTGTGGAAGTGGCATGATGGAGGCTTGCCGGTGTGCTTTTTCCAGAAAACGGCCAACTGGCCGGAATTACAAGGTGGCTGAGGAGTGTTTAGTAGTTTAGGGTTTTTATATACTTAGGATTATTTGCTCAAGTTGGAAGAAGATGGTGTGGTGTGCTAAGTGTAATGTGATATTGATAGGTAGAAGAATTTTAGGGTTTTGTAGGTGGAAGAAGGAGATTGGGCTTAAAATGTTGGGCCTCAAAATTGGGCTCGATATTTTATTGACTTAGGCTCGGTGAACTAGAATACTAACCGGGTCTAGATAATTAAAGATATTCGGCTAGGATAAAAATGTGTCGATTAAATGGGCTCGAAAATTGGGCTTTGACCAATAATCGACTTGGACCAAATACTTAGGTTAAATATGAAATGTTCGAACAATTTAAATATTAATCGAGACTTGGACCTAATTAATTAGTCGGTCGAATAAACTAATATTGGGCCGGGATGTAAAAATCGAACATAGGCTCGATTAATTTAATATGGGCCGGAATAAAACCGACTCGCTTGAAAATGATTTTGGGTCAAGGCTTGGCTCGTCCGGGCTTCAATCCGACTTAATAAAATTCCGATTATTCCAAGGCTCTGTTTTACCCTTAAATAAAACCGATACTTGGCTATATAAAATCGATTTTAATAATTAAAAATCGAATAAATCCTCCATGGCTTAGACTTTAAACTAATTACTCGATTTAGCAAATAATAATAATTAAATGCATCAATTAAGGAAACTTGCTATTTATGGAAATAAAATCGACCTCCATAAATAGTAAAAATATTCGGCGCGTTACAGAAAATGTCCAAGTCATATGTCGTTGCTCAGGGCCATCGAAATACGCCATGAGCCGCCACTTCGGACGCTGCCGAGATGGCCGTTGGAGTGTTGAGTATCTCTGCCGAGATTAGATAAAGAACGAGCTCGCCATTCTCGTCGGAGCACCAGACAGAGGAGAGCCTGCGGTTAATTGCCGTCATGGCCTTCACGGCGAGAGTCGCCAAGTCGACGAAAGAGGACTGGTGCTGAGCGGCAGTGACAGTGATGGGAGGATGAAGCTTTTTAGGGATAGGACATCTTTTAGAAAATTAGATAAGTGACAAGGACCTTTATGCAATTTTATGACATTTAGTATATTACATTTTAGTGTTTGTGGCAAATTTGTAATTTATTAAAAGTCCAACACATTCATATTAATGATATATAAAATGCACAAAATTATGTGAGAAAATGCAGAATAAAGTTTGTAATTTTAAGGAGTTCTTTTCCGAGATGCCATTGCTCCCAAAGCTAGAACCTACGGATAGCCTTGTCCTATAGCTCTCAATAGACAAGGTAACATTTCACTCGATTCTTCTAAATGAGGAAGAAGGGCAGCTGAAGCCCATAAATTATACCATCAGGGTGTTGTAGGGGGCCGGGATAAAGTAAATGGAGGTAGAGAAGGTCGAGCTAACACTCATCGCGACTGCTCGAAAATTGCAACCTTATTTGGTGCATTAGGTTGTAGTCAGAAAAAATTACATCCTGAAGGATACCTTGGGTCGACCTTCAGCCTTAGGGACGATGGTTAACTGGCTGTTGAGCTCGGAGAATACAATGTGGAGTTCGAGAACTATAAAAGCTGAGGCGCTTGCTAACTTCATCCAAGAGTGTATGATGGAAAAAAGGTTAGTATGTGGATTGTAAACGTGGACGACTCTTTAACTGTTCGAGGAGCGAGATTGGGCATACTGGTCGTAATCCCTAAGCAGGACTACCTGGAGTTCTCCGTGAAGCTATCTTTATGGGCCTCAAATAACGAGACAAAATACGAAGTCTTGATTAAGGGGATACAACGTAACTCGTGAAACTGTCTTTAAGGGTCTCAGATAACGAGACAAAATACGAAACCTTGATTAAGGGGATACAACTTGTTGCAAAAGAAGGTGGCCAACATGTATTCATTCACTCAGACTCACATCTCGTGGTTGAGCAGGTAAAAGGAGAGTATGAAGCTAAGGAGGAATATATGCAGAAGTCTTTGGCCGAAGTACACTCACTTTTGAAGGCATTCACGACCTGGGAAGTCATGTAGATACCTGGGAAGTCAAGTGGCTAACTAGTCGACTGAAGCAGCTATACAACTGAATTTGCTATACAACTGAATTCATAGAGGCCTACACAACGAGAACGACTATAGCCTAGAAACTACTACACTAAACACACCAACAAACTACGATAGTAGTAATCTTAACTCCCACAATAAGAGAATTCTAATTCCAAAAAAAGTAGAATAAATCTCTAAAGTAAACACAAACACACACTACGCAAAAAATACTAAACACTAGCTTATACAAGAATAACATCCTCTCCACCAGCTTTTAAGCCGCTACGCATCAACACCACGAGACCGACACCCGGAGGCTACCACCCACACGGACAGAACCCCAGTCTCGCAGATCCAGAAACTCCAGTACACCTATATCTGACTGGATCCGAACAAACTTGACCAACATCTTCTCCCAAAAGGATACCCCAAACCCCCAGCCAAAGGCCCACACCTACCTCCACCCTCAAACCACCGGCGACCCAGAGGCCAAACCACGACCAGAGCCGCAACCCTCACCAGCCCACACCCGTCGGCTTAACCTATCTACCCAGCACCAGAGATGACCAAAAAATAGAAAAGAGGAGGATCCCGACCACTGCAAATGGCTGATCGGGGCTACGACTTGAACTCACCGGGGCCTTTGCTATAGCCGA